TATGGGGTATTTATTTTTAACTGTCTGTTTGTTCAGTGCGCGGTAGTCGATGCACATCCGTAAACTGCCGTCTGGTTTTGGTGTGAAGAGAACTGGTGCACCGTAGGGAGATGTGGATGGGCGGATCAGTTGTCTGTCCAGTAAATATTCGATCTGTTTTTTCATGTCTGTCAGCTCGGTCGGACTCAGTCGGTATGGTGCACGTGAGACGGGTTTCGCACCTGGTTCCTCCACGATCTCGTGCTCGTGGGTGCGTGCTGGAGGTACGCCTGCAGGTAGGTCGTCGGGCATGATGTCTTTGTACTGCTCCAAGACTTCTTTCACTGCTGCGGGTAGCTCGGAACCCGGTTTCACCTCTTCTGCTGCTGCCATGACCAGTGCTACGTAACCCGCGTCGCCCTCGTTCACCATCCGTTCGAACCGTGCCAGTGTTGTTTCCGGAATGTCTCCTGTATCCGTCCAGCTTCGTAGTGCTATCCGCTTCCCGTTGTTGTAGATGCACACCTTGCTGTTGACCCAATCGATCTCGGGGTTGAACCGCTTCAGGAAATCTCGCCCCAAGATGAAATCTAACCCTTTGATGTTGGTAACAGGTAGCTTCGGCTTCCATCTCAACGCACCTATATGCAGCTGCAAGGTTGCTTCGCCGTGGATGGGAAGCTTCGTACCGTCCACCATGGTTGCTGAAAACTGGGTCTCCTCCGCCTTCTCTCCAATTTTCTCCAATGCTCCGCGGTCACATACTGAGTGAGATGCACCGCTGTCCACCAGTGCCTGGAGGCGTCGCCCATTGCATAACACCTCGAGGAGTAGTGGTTTCTGCTGCGCTGAGTAGCCAAAGAGGGTCTCATTAATAGGATCATAGGGTACATCAAAATGAATACCTTCCCTACTTCCTATACCCGACTCAGCACTTTCCAACTTCACCTGGGGGGTAGGAGGATCTTTCCGAGGCTTGTATAATTTCTCTTGAGCCTGGATGTCTCCTCTAAGCCTTTGCAGCTGTGTAGGCTTCACCTGTGGGCAACGGGGAGCCTTAACACTACGCTGCGGGGAGAGAATATTAACACCACGGAACGCACGACCCTTTTCTACGCTCCGTAATACTTTGCCCAAATTTGCAGGTACCTGAATAATTTCTAAAGGCTTTTTCTTGGCCTTTAATTCTCCCCTGAATTTTTCAAAGGCTTGAAAACCACGAGAAGCAATATTTTTTTGTTCGAGTATCTTTATAGGATACTTTTAACGAATTCTTACTTTCGTGGGGGTCCGGCTGGAGTTTCCCGGTCGGTGCAGAGTCTTTTTTCGCGGAGCCACCAGTCGCCTCGGCGGTTTCCCCTGATGCCGGCCGGTTGTGACGTTTTATATTCGCGCCATCATTTTCTCCTTTTTTCGCCCGCTCCGAAGTCGCCACGTCGTCGCCCTTTTTCGCTTTTCGGATCTTTACGCGATCGCCAGTTCGATCCGCGGCTACTGGCGATTCCCGTTTTTTTACTTCGGGGGTGCTCCACTGTTACCGCCCTGCATAATCGCACGTACTTTCTTCATCTTGTAGCACGACAAAATCTGATGCCCTGCTGCGCCGCAAAATTCGCATTTGGTCGGCTGCTGCTTCGCGTCGAATTTGTCGATGTCCATCGGTTCGGCGAACGTGGGGGGTGCCGATCGCTCCGTGCCGAATGTACGGTTCGGCGCGAAACGTCGTGTTTCGGGTTGACCTCGGGTCAGCGCGTCGTAACGCTCGGCTGCACGCACGATGTCTCTGTAGCTGTCGTTATTCGCCGCGATCACCTGCCGCCGAATCTCCAATTTTAACCCTTCTGTGTACGCCTGGATTTTTTCGCCTTCGGTCAGGTCGGGGATGCGGGTGAACAGGAGCTCCATCTGCTGCGTGTACTGCGTTACACTACTGTACTGCTTGTGCCGATGAATTTGTTGTCGCGCCATGTAGGTAGTATTAATTGGTTCGAAACGCCCGATTAATTCTGCCCGAAACTGCGTCCACGTTTTCTCCCCGCGGGCCACGTCGGTGTTGTAGATCCACTCGAGTGCTGGTCCTCGTAACAGTGTCGCTGCGAGCCGGATTCGTGTTGCGTCGTGTGTCGGGGTCGAACAGCCAATGGCCTCGAAGTAAATTTCGAGGATTGCCACGAAACGCCGGACGTCGGATCCCTTCGCGCTTGGATCGAACGCTTCCGGGAGCCTCGGTCGTGCTGCTTCGAGGTTCGGCGTCAGTGGTGCCATCGGACCGTGAAATGTCGGTGTCGCCACTGCTGCTGGAGTTGTCGGTGCTGCAGTCGTTGCAGTCGCTGCTGCTGTCGTGGCGAGCGCCGGATGGCTTGTCAGAAAAGCCTCGAGTCGACGAAGCGTCGCCTGCGTCTGCTCCATGTCGGTGCGGAGGCTCGCGACGTCGCTCGTTGTCGCGTAGTTGTCGCCCTGGCCTTCCATGCCTGACATTACGCGTCCGAAAAACCGAATCGAGGAGGAGCGGAAAAACACGGAACCGGTTTTACGTACCCGAAATCGATGTTTATCTGCGTCGCCCCCGCGGTTTTTTTAAGACTGGTTTTTAGCGGTCGAAAGAACTTCGCGTGTAAACGAGCTCTGATTACCAAGTGTGAGGATCTAGGATCGAGCTCAGAAAAGAGAGTTTGAATTGAATGATCACCTGGGTACAACACGAGGCTATATATAGGCTCGACACAAGGGGCAGTAACCAGGTGTTACGCGAAGGTTCTGGGGGTCGCGAAGCGTCCCGAACAGACCCTTCCTGAATTCGGTAGAAGGCAATTCGGTGGCAACCGAATAGCCCAGAATTCGGTGTACGCAACCTAGCTCGGTGCTATAACTATAATAAAATATAGGAAAGCACCTAGCCTAGGAATTCAAGCAATTCATGCATGCATAAAATAAACCTAAGCTAGAAGTAGCATAATAAAGTAAAGGCAAGCATGCATAGCTGGCATAAGCCGTCGTACTCTCACACTATGGCACTTCGTCCTTCCTCTGTTCCACCGTGCGTCCCTCTGCCGTCTCCTCCTGCGTCCTCTCTTCCTGTCATTCTAGACCCTGAGTCTGACCGTGCTAGTGCTGCCAGCCCTACTTTCACGCGTCTCATGGCTACAGTCGTCAATGACCCGTCATTGAGTCTACTACTGCGTTTGCCTTACTTGCTGAGCTTGTGGACTTTGCTGCTGCGTGTCGTCTAGACTACGCCACTAGTCTTGTTGCTGAGTCTGAGTCTGTCTGTCTTCCGTCCGTCGGGGGTGAGTGTGCTCTTAGCACGGACGTCCTTGAGGACAGGCAGGAGGACTTTGAGTGTCTTGCGGCTGCTGTACCTCATCTCGTGGCCTGGCTGCTTGCACCTGAGGGAGACCCGGATGCACTGGACATCCCGACCCCGCGCTCTTACGCAGAGGCGATCACGGGTCCCTACTCCTCTCAGTGGCAGACAGCCATGGACGCAGAGATGGCATCCTGGAAGTCCACAGGCACTTACGTCGACGCAGTTCCCCCTCCTGGGGCGAACATAGTCGATGGCATGTGGATTTTCAGGGTGAAGCGGCCACCGGGTTCTCCGCCTGTCTTCAAGGCTCGTTACGTGGCTCGAGGCTTCAGTCAGCGAGAGGGAGTTGACTTCTTCCAGACCTTCTCCCCTACCCCAAAGATGACCACTCTTCGGGTGCTGCTGCACGTTGTCGCTCAGCGTGACTACGAGCTTCACTCTCTTGACTTCAGCACATCGTTCTTGCAGGGCAGCCTGCACGAGGAGATCTGGCTGCGCCGCCCACCTGGCTTCACTGGGTCGTTTCCTGCAGGTACCCAGTGGAGCCTCCGGCGGCCAGTCTATGGTCTCCGCCAGGCGCCTCGTGAGTGGCACGACACACTGAGGACGATGCTTGCGGCTCTCGGGTTTGCTCCTTCGACTGCTGACCCGTCGCTGTTTCTGCGCACTGACACTTCGCTGCCGCCGTTCTACATCCTCCTGTACGTCGACGACTTGGTCTTTGCCACTGCTGACACTGAGGCACTGGCCCTTGTGAAGTCGGAGCTGCAGAAGAGACACACGTGCACAGACCTTGGTGAGCTGCGCAGCTATCTTGGCTTGCAGATCACTCGGGACAGAGCACGCCGCACCATCACCCTTACTCAGTCACACATGGTGCAGCAGGTCCTTCAGTGCTTCGGCTTCCAGTTCTCCTTGCCACAGTCCACTCCTCTGCCTACCGGTCACTCGCTCTCAGCTCCATTTTTGGACGAGTTAGTAGAGCCGAGTGGCCCGTATCCAGAGTTTGTGGGCTACCTCATGTACCTGATGACCTGCACTCGACCAGACCTTGCGTACCCTCGTAGCATCCTAGCTCGCTACGTTGCGCCTGGGAGACACCGGCGAGAGCACTGGGAGGCTGCTAAGAGGGTGCTTTGCTACTTGTGCAGTACTTCGGGCATGGGGCTGGTGCTTCGAGGACAGGGTCCAGTTGTCCTCCGTGGACACTCAGACGCCTCTTGGGTTGATCCTAACATCCCTACCACCTTCTTTGTGTTGGAAACTTGTAAATGCGCTTCTGGAATGTCAAAGCACTACAGCAAGACCGAGACAAGCCCTAAGCGAAGCAACACCGAGTCAACCGAGCTACAGTAAAGCGGTTGATAAAAGTGACAACAATCAGAAGTTAAAGCGAATGTCAAAGGTCAGCGACCTTTGACTCGCCGAGGCAGTGCGACAGCAAGGACAAATAACTGAACTCGACATTGAGCAGTTACCCGAGTCGTCGCTGTATCGAATAGCACTAGAGGTTACAATAATTGTTAATACAAAAGCCGTTTCTACGGTATGTTATTCTTGTAATCTTATATAAACCTTGTATCTCTGCATTATAAGTCAACTTTTCTTGTTGTCACATACCAGTACACGGTGGATTAACCAAAGTCTTATTAAGAGACGCTTCCGCTAATACATCACTCCGAGCCTTACTCATTAAATGGTCCTAAGGGCTTTCTTAGCCCAACACTCTAAGCAACACAGAAGAAACATTTCTGGAGGACATATCCATGTTGCTTAGACTCTCATCTTCCGCTGCACTCTCCCATTCGTCCTCCCAGTCAGGAAAGTGCTTGGCAATGAGGGCACTGAGGCGGTACGCCACATCCATCATGGTGGGTCGCCGTGTGTCGGGAGATTTGATGCAGTCCAGAGCCAGATCTGCAAAGTCCACTATGGCCTCCTCGCTTGCCGCTGGCATCGTGCGGTCCTTCAGCTCTTGTGGCTCATACGCCTGCACCAGCTTCATAGCCTGGAGGGCATGCTCGCAAGGTAGGGTGATGATGGGAGAGGCGGTGCTAAGCAGCATGACACAAGCAGGGCAGATGGTGGACAGTAGTATGACAACAAGGAAAGGCAGTGACAACTAACATGCAAGAGAACTAAGGTCAATGTGCGGCCATAGAATAATGAGGTCAGATATGGATTTGAGATCTTGCAGCCTTTTTTCATATTACTTGTTTTTTGCCAGTTCAAAACTTGACGAGCATACCCATATGCTTATGTGCGTTATATGCCTTTCTGTGACGACTCGGGGCGGCTTTCCACTCAACAACTCAAGAAGCACGATTCCAAAGCTGTAAGCAATCATGAATTGGAGAAAGAGGAATAAACATGGCACAACATGGAGAGAGGCACAGGGTACAAGTATTGAACATAACCTGGAAAACAAAACAACCGAGGTGCACAAGGTTAACGCGTTGTGCAAAGGAACAAGCTTGCATGCTGACCTAAACACATCACTCTTGGCTGTGATGACGTTGGTGTGGTTGTAGTCTGGATCCACATAGCCCGGCGTGCCAGCCACTCGCGTGGCATCAGAATCGCCGTGAGTGAGGCGTTTGAGCAGCTCAAAGTCAGCCACCATGGCTTGCATTTCGGCAGTCACGAGGACGTTGGCAGGCTTGATGTCGCGGTGAATGATGGGTGTGTCAAGCCCATGCAGGTACGCCAGGCCCTCTGCTGCTCCCTGTGCTAGGTGCAATCTCTGGCGCAACGAGAGCGGATAGGGGTCACGAAACATGAATACCGAGCGCAACACATAAATGTTCGAACAAAACAAGCAAATGCCTGGTGCAACTCACTATTGGTGGCATGGACGTGGTACTACAGGTCCCTGTTGCCTATGAACTTGTACACGAGAATCTGCTCCTGCTTGCCCGCCTCCACGTTCTGGTCCAGGCAAAAGCCCAGCAGGCACAGGAGATGTGTGTGGTGGAGAGAGGCCATGGCTCGCACCTGCAACATGGACATGGAACACAATGCAGGGAGACAGACATGGGCAGCGACAGGCATGGGCAGCGACAGGCAAGCATTGAATTGCAGGTCACCAACTCGGAAAACGTAGATTACCGTATTTTTGCAGGGCGGAATGCAGGGGATTAGACGCTTGGTGATGGTGCCTGACCTCCGTTTCAAAGTCGTTGGTCATGATGGTGGATCGCTTGACGACCCACAGCTGGCCCTGTGGCGAGCGGCCTTTTGTAGACAATGCCAAAGCCACCCTTGCCCAGCACGTTGTCCTCCGACCAGTTGTTGGTGGCACTCAGCATCTGCTGCAGCAAGAACTGCTCACACACATCTAGCCCTCCCACTTCTCTGTGCACACACAATACGCCAGATAAGAGGAGTCGGGGACTGAGGGTGTAGATGAGTGGAGAGAGCATGAGGGCATTGGAAAGGCAGAATTATAGTGCACAAATTTGGGAGCGGTAGGGAGCGGAGAAGGAAGCCAGGAAATAGGTGCAGCAATGGGGGAAATGAAGTAGGGTCGAGGGGGCTCACTCGGTCTGCAGGGCCACAGCAGCCATACGACCACCGCAGCCAGCAGCGTGAAGCCAGCAAAGCAGCCCAGAACAATGCCCACTATGGCACACGAGGAGAGAGACGAAACTGCCAAGGAATGGACATGGGGCGGTGATAAACGTGCGTATAGCAGAAGCCTCATGAAACGTGGTTATTGGTGCAAAACATAGCAATGAGACAGTGCGGTGGAGGTGTAAGAATGAAGGAAGGGTTACCAGTGGTGGTGGTGGAGTGCACGATGGCGCATGAGGAGGAGCCGTTGTCCGAGTCGACAGTGGTGTACCCGGCATCACACAGGCAAGTGAAGTTGGTGGGGGAGGTGGGGGCAGCCGGCACACACGCCTCGTGGCCGTCGCACGGGCCGATGGCAGTGATGCTGCAGAACGCCTGGCAGGCTGCCGTGCTGCGCTGGGTGGCGTTGGAGGAGCTCTTGTTGCTTGGGGTGAGGGTCAGGCAGTTGCCCGACAGGGCTACCCTCGCCAACTTGCCCGACCCCGCCACGGATGAACCCAGAGCAAGATTGTGGCACTTGCCACCAAACCCTTTCAATGGAGAGGTGTCCCGCGTGTACAGGCTGTTGGGCTCGCTGACCTCAGTGGGGCAGACCTTGCAGCCGACAGAAAAGAGCGCCCCATCTCAAAAGAAGTTGTGAGCCAAGTTGATGAGCGCATTGTCATCCGCCTTGTTCTCAAAGTCACGGTTGATGCGCCCGTACAGGCTGTTGCCACTCACATCACTGTAGGAAGCACAAGTGGCTCACGGAGGGCAGAAGATGATACTGAGTGTTTGGTCGGAGGCCATCTCACTAGATAATGACGTCGGTGCAATTCCCATGTTGAGGGTAACAATGGAATTAGTGTACGCACGGTAGGCTCACATTTGTGTGATACACTCGTCAAAGAGGCAGTCTGGCAGGGGTTCGTAGAGGTAGTTTCTGATCAAGCTGCCAGCAGCACAACACACACCATGCAGCGCCGTGAGTCACACACCAATAAAAAAAGGCAAACACACAAAAGTGAAACTACTTGACATTTTAACAATCTCTAGAATCATGAAAACAGGAAAGAAGTAAGTCCTGGTTGGCAAACTCCTTAAAAGAATCAATCAGGTGTATGACTGTCACTCTCAGGCACCACAGGCCAGCAAAGGCCAGTTGGCAGAGGGCCTTCAATCTTGTTGTTGTCCAACCAGCTAGGGAGACAGGAAGAGCATTGGCAGGAACGACGGTGGGAACAGTTGCATAAAGAGCAGGGGGTGGAGTGGGGATGGCACAGGTGATGTTTGTGTGTTTTGGTCTCTTGTGTTCATTTCATGGTGTAGAAGTTGCTACATCCCTTATGGTAACGATGTAATACAAGCTTGTGCGGGCGCTGCCTGTGTTGCTTTTTAAGCTGCCACTATTCTTTAAAGAAGTAGAGGAGGAAGGCACATAGCAGCCTCACATCTGTTCAAGATTCTCCAGTTGGCTGATGGCGTCTGGCAGACTGCCACTCAGATGGTTGTTGGCCATGTAGCTGACGGGCAATAGCAATGGCAGGGCGACACAACGATACATTTGAAGGGCAATGGCAGGGCAAAACAACGATGCATTTGAAGGGCAATGGCAGGGCGACACAACAATGCATTTGAAGGGCAATGGCAGGGCGACACAACGATGCATTTGAAGGGCAATGGCAGGGGGGCACAACGATGCATTTGAAGGGCAATGGCAGGGGGACACAACGATGCATTTGAAGGGCAATGGCAGGGCGACATCGCGACTAGAAGCAGCGCATGGGGCAGAGGTAGGGACCTTTGATGGGCACTTAGAAAGGGGATCCCATGAGGCTTACAGGTTTGTTAGATTCCTCATGGTGAAGATGACTGAAGGGATGGTGCCAGTCAGCTGGTTGTTGTTGAGAAAACTGCAGAGCAGTGAATAGCAACGGGGTACATTGGTTGGAAGTGCGAATTAAGCGTATTTAGCTGCGTGTGTGCATAGGCTGCCACTGCTAACTCTCTCCTGCCATAAACTGTGTGCCACTGCAAAGGCTCAACGGTGACTTTTCTAAACGACATCCCACCTTGTTCAGATGGGAATAGCTCCATGGATATGTGCTCATGGCAAGCATTACGGCTCGTTGTGGCACAAGAAGGCTCAACATGCTAACGAGGGTGGTGAGGGTGGAGATGGAGTCAGGAATTGACCCTGTGAAGTTGTTGTCGTTGAGATTTCTGAGCCACAACACGGGCGAGGCAGTAGCGAGATAGCCTGTCGCGAGTAAGGTGAGCGCAACAGCTTACTATGGGAGCAAGCAATGCACTATATGCAAGAATGAGCATTTGATCCGTACCGACCTCACCCGATTTCGGCTGGCCAGGAGGGTACCTGGTCGGGTCAGGTCCAGTCTTCCCGGGTCGGAGTTTCCAAAAAATTGACCCGACCCAACCTTAAAGGACCGGGTCGCGCCTGACCCGCCCTCAGGTCGGGTACAGAAACTTGCTTTCACCCACGCTCTGCGCAGATCGGCACACATCTGGCAGCGGAATGCAAGTAATTTTGCACGTATCGAATTTTGACAATTTCAATCTCCCTCTCTGTCTCTTTTATTTTCTTTTCTTGTTTTTTTTTTTTTTTTCAGTCAAAGTTTCCCACCAAGATACAACATTTTTTTCGGACCAGAATTATCAAGAAGCTAGGGTGAAACGGCTCCCCCCACTTCTCTTATTGTAAGTGATTTTTTCACCCAAAATATGGAATAGAAAGGCACAATTTTGCACCCTAGTGCTAAGGCCAAGATTGAGCAAGCGTTGTTTAGGGTGGGAAAAGGAGGAAGAGAGTATGAGAAGGCTTATTTACACCTCTGCACAGCTGACGTTCCAGTGTGAGAAGTCTGGTAAGGAGCCCATGAAGCCATTTCCTCCCAGGCCATTGCACAGTTCAAAAGGAGACGAAGATTCGAGGGGCATAAAAGTTACCATGAAGGGACAACGTTGCACCGGGCACACACAATGGTAGCAAGACACAGCAGTGGCAGCACACAGTGGTTCAACTTCTTACAGCATGTAAAGAGAAGGTGTGACCCTGAGAGTCCGTGGGAGTTTTCCAGAAAGAGAGTTGTTAAATACATCCCTGCGTTCGGAAATTAAAAGGATTCCGCCAACCAAAGCACATCAATGCCTCGTCGCCTCTGCGAGGGCAGACAACGAGCTTGGGGTGGAAAGTTGGAAACTTGAGAGATCAGGGAGAAACATCGAAAGCATGTAGCATGCGAACTCCTGATTTGGTGTTTGGTAGTGGAGCAGAGTACTTGCAAAATACCATTTGGCATATTTGAAATAGTAATATTTACGTTTGTTTTGTATGCATACTCAGATCTTCACCCTTTCATGGAGAGAAAGACAAGGCGGAAGAAAAGAATCTTCCGAAACAGGAGTACGGGAGCTACTTACGGCCACTACAAACCGGGTAGCCGAAGCAGGCCAGATGGGATAGTTCCATGGAAATTGTTGCTATTGAGAATTCTGCACAACAGTATCAAGAGCCTCAAAGTGACCTCAAATATTCAAGCACAAGGCTAAACAGATCCTCAACCCCGCTACAGTTCGCAGCAGTGCAACTTAAATGTCGGTCAGGTTGACAAGCTTGGTCAATTCGCGGGGGATGGTCCCTGTGAAACTGTTGTTGGCCAAGTTTCTGCAATGACCATTTGGATTGGCCATTTGAGCTGTTCAGCTAGGAAGAAGTACTGCAAGAAATGCCCCGCCTTCGTTTGAGGTCACGCATCCATGGATGCGTTACACGAATAAAAGGCTAATTTGTGCGGTTCCGCTGGAAATAAACCAAACGAGAGCGAGCCGGTTCGGCTCCGTACTTTCTGTTGCTTGCGTTTTTGTTATTTGAGTGCAACTCGCTTTTGTTCAAGGCCACGAGTGGATGTCTTACAGGACAAAAAGGCTTCTGGCACAGAATAAAATCTGGGAACATTCCAGTGAAGTGGTTGTTTCCAACATCCTTGAATGAGGCCCAGAGAGCGGTGGAGAAATAAATGACACAAATACATGGGAAAGCACGCATTCATTAGCTCATGTACAGGACACGTCACTGCATACGTGCTCTGGCACTTGCACATGAATGCAGGAAAATAGTTGTTCTTTCTCACTCCGCTCCGCTTCGCTCCGCTACGTATCGGTGAATTTAGCGCTGCGCTCCGCGCAAATGGCAACTTCAACTTCCACCCTCGTCGGAAACCTCATTGTTCTCAATCTCGCTCCCAACGGAACGAGCACCAACTTTGGGGAATGGTGCTATGGGGTGGAGAAGCACCTCCTTAGCACGGAACTAAAGGGGATATGCCTCAAGGACATACTCCTCAACCGCGGCAAGGGAAAGATGCCTCTCCCTCCCGATCCTCTTGGCGAAGGAGCCACTGCCGTAGAGAAGGTCACTTCTGAAGCTAAAAACACCAAGTATGAGACCGATTTCAGTGTGTGGGAGTAGGCGGATGCAGCAGTTATTAGGGTTTTCATCACCACCACTCCAGTTGAGCTTGTCAAATCCTTCCGCACCTTTCGCTCCGCGCATGACATTTGGAAATACCTCCAGGACCGTTTTCATGACAAGGCAGCAGTGAGAGTTGCCATCCTCATTCCGCGAATGTTCCAGGTCCGCCTTGAGGAATGCCCTGGCATGGCAGACAACATCTCTGAAATCCGCAACATCCATGAGGAACTCAAGGACATAGGGATTATTTTCCCCGAACAGGCACCTGCAGCTGGGCTACTTGTAGGACTTACCCTAGCCTACAATGTTACCAGCTCCATGCTCAAGCAGCTTCCCACCAAGGAACTCACCTTCGAGAAAGTCGCATCGGCCCTTCTTTCCGCTGAAAAGGACCTTGCAGCCCAAGCATCCGTAAATGCTGTGCGCTACACACCTGGAGTCCCATTCCGCTCCCAGCAGGGACCGAGGCGCAACTCCTTTCCCCCATGCCCCTACATCATTAGGAAGGGTCCACGTGCGGGGCAGAAATGCGGAGGCACCAACCACCCTGAGGCAACTTGCTTCAAGAAGCGAGACGACGAGTGGTATGATGTTCATGGTGTCTCAACCAACAAGCGCCCTCCCAACTAGGCCCCACCCCGTCGCGTGAACCAGGTCGAGGCAGTGGAGGAACCTAGTCCCTCTGTTGTTAGCACCCCATCTGATGTTCGCCTCAACCTCATGTTCTCTGGTGCTGGTATTATTAATGAGAAGGGGTCACAGTACATCGGTGTTTCAAACATACAAGGGATCGAGTTCATACTAGACAGTGGTGCCACCCACACAGTGCTCAAAGACCAAACTGCATTCGATCCTTACCAGGCTCCCACCCCACTCCTCGGAGCCGATTCTAGCTTCTCCATCCAATGCCATGGGTCCTCCACAGTTCCTTGTCCAGCCTTCCCATCAGGCACAATCACTGGCATCTGTGCCCCAATCCTCCGCTACAACCTCCTTGCACAGCGCGAAATCCAACATGCAGGAGTGATCACCATCTTTCCCAATGATGTCGACTACTGTGACCTCTTTGACGCCAAAACCGGCATTCATCTAGCCCGCTTCACCCTAAACTCCAACAACTTATACACGCTCGTTGTACCTCCCATTCAAACGTGCTCGCTCACCAACCTTCCGCTCCCTTCCACAGACTCCTCCACCTGTCACTGCCGCCTCCTTTCCGACAAAACCATGCTTTTTCATCACCGCCTCGGCCACATCAACTTCCGTGCACTTTCCGACCTTGCCACAAAACAACTCCTCCACGGACTTCCAGCCTCACTTCCCTCTCCTACCTCCAACCTAGGGCCGCCTTGCCTTGACTGTGCACAAAGCAAGCTCCGTGAACAGCCCCATCCCCCCACTGAGTCCATCTCAACTGCACCTCTCGATCACATGCACATGGACCTATGGGGCCCAGCTCCTGTTCGTTCTCGTGGCGGACACTTCTACTTCCTTGTCATCATTGATGACTATTCCCGCTATATGTCTGTCCACCTTCTCTCCTCCAAGTCTGAAGCCCTAGGCGTCATCATCGAATGGGCCAAGCAGGCCCATAAACACTTCAAAACCACCATCAAGGTTCTTCACTCTGACGATGGCGGTGAATTCCGCAACAACTCTCTCAAAGCTTTCTGCTCCACTGAAGGTATCCGTCAGACCTTCACTCTCCTAGATAGTCCCCAACAGAACGGTGTTGCTGAGAGCCGGAACCGCATCGTGGTGCAGATCGCTCGCTGCCTCCACACGCACGCCTCCGCCCCTCCCTCTCTCTGAGGGTACGCCATGCTTCATGCTGCCACCCTCCACAATCTCCATCCTCATCCTCATCACACCCACACCACCCCCGTTGAGCTGTGGACGGGCCAAAAGCCTTCCGCCCGCCCTCTACGCGTATGGGGGTGCACTTCCTATGTCCTCCTCAACTCCCATGCCCGTCGTACAGCTGGCGGCAAACTTGCTCCCAAAACAATCACATGCGTGTACCTTGGGCACAACTCAGATTCCCCGGACTATCTCTTCCTCCATCCTTCCACCAACAAGCTCTATCGCAGCCGAGACGTTTTCTTTGATGACTCTCACCCGTTCTACCCCTCCTCCAAGGCTTCCCCCTCTCCTCCGCCTCCTTCTCTTACTTGGGCTGATTTTGCCAGCCTCCCTCTTCCCGACACTCCATCTCCTCCTCTTCCTGCTCCCTCCACCATCTCTGATCCCCCATCACCCCCTTCCCTCTCCAGCATCACGCAGTCTCCCTCGCTCCTTCCCTCCTCCTCCCCCCCCTCCTCCATCTCCTCTCTCCTCTCCTCCCGCTCTAGCTCCCCCTCCTCCTACCGGGCCCGTTCCTCTCAAAACCTACCACCGCCGTCACCCAGCTCCTCCAGCTCCTCCTCCTCCTCCTCCTCCTCCTCCTCCTCCTCCTCCTCCTCCTACCACTGATCCCGCTCCTGTTTCTGCTCTTCCTCCCATTCCCACCTCACCTACTGCTACTCCTCCTCCAGCTCCGCCTCCCTCCCCCATCGCTTCTCGCACTCGCTCGCATCCAGCTCCCAAGCCGCTCTCCCTTTTCGTTCGAGTCTCCCTCAATCCTCCTCCTGTCGGGGGTGATTATTCTCTCATGCCCTCCCTCCTTGAAGACAGACATGAGGAGTTGATTGACATCAACTCAGCCATACACGCGCTCTGCTTCCTCTTTCCAGATATCGCTGATTCTCCCACCCTCAATTTCTCCGACAACACCTCCATCCCCACACCTCTCACCTATGCTGAAGCAGTCTCTGGTCCTCACGCCGCCCAGTGGCTGGGGGCCATTGACGCAGAGTGTGAGGCCTTCATTCACACGGGAACATTCACCGATGTCTTCAAAGCCCGATACTGCGCCAAGGGATTTACTCAAAAGCATGGACTGGACTTCTTTGAGACATTCTCTCCCACCGCCAAACCTCCCACACTCCGCACCCTTCTCGATGCAACCGCACGAGATGACATGGAGGTTGACTGCATGGATGTGTCGTCTGCATTTCTTCTAGGGGTCCTTCGAGAGGACATTTATATGGAGCGGCCCGAAGGATTTCCAGCTCCCTTTCCACTAGGCACTGTATGGAAGCTGAATCGGCAAGTGTATGGCCTCAAGCAAGCACCCCGGGAATGGCACAATAAGCTCAAGAGCGCCCTAGGGTCCCTCGACTTTCACCCATCCACCTCCGACCCCAGCCTCTTCATCCGTGCAACACCATCCCGCTTCTTCGTCTTGGTTTATGTCGATGACATGATCCTTGTTACCAAGGATCAGGCTGAGTTGGCAGCAGTTAAAACCCTCACTAGGTGAGAAGCTGGCCATGACGGACCTTGGGAAGCTGACGAACTATCTGGGCCCGCACCATCACCCTCTCGCAGTGGTTTTACATCAACAACGTCTTGACGCGGTTCAAGATGCACGATGCAACACCAATGCCTACCCCGCTCTCTCTGCAGCACCAGCTCACTGCACCCTCTGTTCCCTCTGTTCCCTCACCTGCCGAGCCATACCCTGAGCTCGTTAGGTCCCTCATGTACGCGATGATGTGCACTCGGCCAGACTTGGCCTACCCAGTCAGTGTACTGTCCCGCTACGTTGCACCTGGTCGCTTCACTCGCCACCACTGGTCTGCCGCCAAGCGGGTCCTTCGCAATCTCAAAGGCACACAGGACTATGTGCTCACACTTGGCGGCTCTTCCCCTGTTCGCCTTGAGGGGTACAGTGACCAGAGTGATCGGCGCTCTTCTCAAGGGTACAGCTTTACCCTTGGCAGCAGGGTTGTGAGTTGGCGCTCCACTCGGTCGTCCTCAGTCTCCCTGTCGACCTGTGAGGCAGAGCTGTATGCCGGGACCATGGCTGCCCAGGAGGCCCGTTGGCTCTCCTTCCTGCTGGGTGAACTCGGGTATCCGCAACCAACCCCAACGCTTTGGTGTGACAACGAGAGCACCATTCATCTCACCAAGGACCCCGTTTTCCACGGCCGCACCAAGCACATTGAAGTCCGTCACTACTTTCTTCGTGAGCTGGTGCAGCGCGAGCAGCTGAAGGCTGACCACATTGCCTCCGACTACAACCTTGCTGACTTGTTTACCAAGTCACTTGTTCGCCAAGACCATTACCGCCTCCTCTCGTCCATGGTTGTTGGGCCTCCCTGTGGCTGATTTGTTGCAGCCGAGGGGGTGTGTTAGAAATAGGCTGTAAACAAATTTGTGTACAATATTCTAAATCTTGTAGGTTTTTTGTAGGTTGAGTGTAGATTGTGATCCCAACCCTATATGGTTGGGATTCCTTTGTAATCCAGCAAATCTGGTTGGATATTTGCTAGGATTCTCATCCCATCCTCTCCATAGCTTTGCTCAACCCAACCTTGTTTGTACTTAAGGCCTAGTGCCTTCTCCACTAATCAATCAGTTGAGCTCCATTTCTATCAGGGAGGAGTGACATACATTGACTGGAGGCGGAGGGAAGAGTGACATACATTGACTGGAGGCGGAGGGAAGAGTGACATACATTGACTGGAGGCGGAGGGAAGAGTGACATACATTGACTGGAGGCGGAGGGAAGAGTGACATACATTGACTGGAGGCGGAGGGAAGAGTGACATAAATTGACTGGAGGCGGAGGGAAGAGTGACATAAATTGACTGGAGGCGGAGGGAAGAGTCGCATAAATTGACTGGAGGCGGAGGGAAGAGTCGCATACATTGACTGGAGGCGGAGGGAAGAGTCGCATACATTGACAGGAGGCGGAGGGAAGAGTCGCAGACATTGACTGGATGCGGAGGGAAGAGTGGTATACATGGACTGGATGCGGAGGGAAGAGTGGCATACATTGACTTCATGCGGAAGGAAGAGTGACATACATCGACTGGGGGCGGAGGGAAGAGTGACATACATCGACTGGAGGCGGAGGGAAGAGTGACATACATTGACTGGAGGCGGAGGGAAGAGTGACATACATCGACTGGGGGCGAAGGGAAGAGTGGCATACACCGACTGGATGCGGAGGGAAGAGTGGCATACATCGACTGGATGCAGAGGGAAGAGTGACATACATCGACTGGATGCAGAGGGAAGAGTGGCATACATCGACTGGATGCGGAGGGAAGACGGGCATACATCGACTCGATGCAGAGGGAAGAGTGACATACATCGACTGGATGCGGAGGGAAGAGTGACATACATGGACTGGAGGCAGAGGGAAGAGTGGCATACATCGACTGGAGGCGGAGGGAAGAGTGGCATACATCGACTGGATGCGGAGGGAAGAGTGACATACATGGACTGGAGGCGGAGGGAAGAGCGACATACATCGACAGGAGGCGGAGGGAAGAGCGACATACATCGACTGGATGCGGAGGGAAGAGCGACATACATGGACTGGAGGCGGAGGGAAGAGCGACATAGATCGACAGGAGGCGGAGGGAAGAGCGACATACATCGACTGGATGCGGAGGGAAGAGCGACATATATGGACTGGATGCGGAGGGAAGAGCGACATACATCGACTGGAGGCGGAGGGAAGAGCGACATACATGGACAGGAGGCGGAGGGAAGAGCGACATATATTGATTGGATGCGGAGGGAAGACCGACATACATTGACTGGAGGCGGAGGGAAGAGTGACATACATTGACAGGATGCGGGGGGAAGAGTGACATATATTGACAGGAGGCGGAGGGAAGATTGACATACATTGACTGGAGGCGGAGGGAAGAGTGACATACATTGACTGGATGCGGAGGGAAGAGTGACATACATTGACTGGAGGCATAGGGAAGAGTGACATTATTGACTGCATGCGGAGGGAAGAGTGACATACATTGACTGGATGTGAAGGGAAGAGTGGCATACATTGACTGGAGGCGGAGGGAAGAGTGATATCCATTGACGGGAGGCGGAGGGAAGAGTGACATACATTGACTGGATGCGGAGGGAAGAGTGACATACATTGACTGGAGGCGGAGGGAACAGTGACATACATTGACGGGAGGCGGAGGGAAGAGTGACATACATCGACTGGAGGCGGAGGGAAGAGTGACATCCATCGACTGGAGGCGGAGGGAAGAGTGACATACATTGACTGGAGGCGGAGGGAAGAGTGACATCCATTGACTGGATGCGGAGGGAAGCGTGACATCCATTGACGGGAGGCGGAGGGAAGAGTGACATACATTGACTGGAGGCGGAGGCAAGAGTGGCATACATTGACTGGATGCGGAGAGAAGAGTGACATACATCGACTGGAGGCGGAGGGAAGCGTGACATACATTGACGGGAGGCGGAGGGAAGAGTGACATCCATTGACTGGAGGCGGAGGAAAGTGTGACATACATCGACAAGAGGCAGAGGGAAGAGTGACATACATTGATTGGAGGCGGAGGGAAGAGTGACATACGTTGACTGGAGGCGGAGGGAAGCGTGACATACATTGACTGGAGGCAGTGGGAAGAGTGACATACATTGACGGGAGGCGGATGGAAGAGTGACATACATTGACTGGAGGCGGAGGGAAGAGTGACATACATTGACTGGAGGCAAAGGGAAGAGCGACATACAGAGACTGGATGCGGAGGGAAGAGTGACATACATTGACTGGAGGCGGAGGGAAGAGTGACATATATTGACTGGAGGCGGATGGAAGAGTGACATACATTGACTGGAGGCGGAGGGAAGAGTGACATGCATTGACTGGAGGCGGATGGAAGAGTGACATACATTGACTGGAGGCGGAGTGAAGATTGACATACATTGATCGCATCACCCCATGATCGCATCACCCCATGATCGCATCACCCCATGATCGCATCACCCCATGATCGCATCACCCCATGATCGCATCACCCAATCATCTCATTGTCCCATGACCCCTTCAACCCATGACCCCATGATCTCCTGGCATGGCTATGAGCGAAGGTCCTCTGAGCAAGGCCTCTCAAGATTCTCACCACTCACAACCCCTTCAACAAGCCCCGTGTGCAGGTGAATGGGGGCAGAGGGTGTGCCATCCACCTTTTCGTCCTACCCTCCCCGTATCATCCATCTACACAGTCTTTTTCCCTTGAATCCCAACAGGCTTTAATTTGCAATGGCAAGGCCAAAATCGTCATCGGAGCAAAAGTGAGCAGGGGCCTGTGAATAGTGGATCAGTTCTTTTGAACTGGGTGCCTTTCCAGCCTGTGTGTGCTGCCTCGTCTGGCCCTTCATCCTCCTTGCCTTCCCTGCCCTTCCATGCACTGTCTGCCTGCCTGCCTCAACCCTCCCTATTTGACAGGCGGAAAGCTGAGCTCACGACTCGCACAATCGTGTCCCTCCTGGCACGAGGTGGTTTTTCCGGAACTGTGCTGTGTCTCGTCTGCGTCTAGTGTCTGTCTCCACCATCTTCCACTGCGCCTTCCACCAGCTTCTCAGTCAACACTGAGCTCACCTTGCTTCTCAACAGCACTCTCCTGCTGTCACCCACAGAAGGTCAAGGCGTGTGACAATCTGGCATTAGCTGCTGCTGAACTTATTTCCCTTGTTTGTAGCTTGGTGTCTATATTTTTCCCAAGTGGTCCCATATGCCAAGGTACCTTGCGTACGCATGTTCCTTTCGCAGACCCAGCACCATCATTAGCATTGAAGATTTCTATAGGAGTTATATGCACATGCATGAAGAGCTTTCAGTACTCAGAAGAAACATCTACCGTAACGCTGCAGACAGCTTTACGGTACCTTAGTAGTATTCCTCCCTGCAGTGTAATCCGACTTGCAGTGTGTGTGTAGAGTTGCAACGCTCACTCGGCCACATTCTAACCGTGAATCATGGTACCCAACAAAACCTACGCTGGAGCGGTAGTTCTCTGGAGGAGGTTCTATGGCTCTGACGAATGGTTCACTGGAGTGAGGTAAAATTGAATGAAACCACCAGTGCATTAGCGGGGCTTGTGCTGTACACTCCAGAGAATCAGGGAGCCAAACCTTATTTGGTTAGTGAGAAGAACTGCGTTATCCTTAATAAAAAAAATGGAAGAGGTATAATACATCTTCAACGTATATGTATGTCTATTTCGAATCAGCAATTTGGTTCTTGAGGTCGTTGATGAGAGTCGCCAGTTCCTTCCGGCTCGCCTGCCATACCACAACAGAGACGAATTGAGGGGAGACGCTAACAACATGGAGATAACACCAACAGCTAGCTATTGCAGAATGATGAACGTCCAAATTTCACTGTAGGAAAGCTCACCTCGAATAGGAGGTAGCGGTAGACGAACCAGCCACCATAGATAGTGCCGACCAGCTTCAGAAAATCCGGGACCTGGCATTAAGAAGAAGAAAAAAAAAAAGAAATTTGGGATTCAGTGTAAGATCGATCAGGGAGCGCGCGTGAAATGGAAGTCACACGAACGAGAGCCTACCAGAGGCAGCGAGTCGATGGCTCCCATGACTGCGCTGGTGATCCACAAGGCGAGCACGGCGCCGCCCGTGTAGAGCAGCACGGTGGGCTTGTTCTCCACGGTGTCCCACTGCACGGACGAGTTGCAATCATTATGCAACGTCGCTTCAATCGAAATTTCGACGAGTGCAATAGCGACGAATGCAAGTTACAATCTTTATGCACGGAGTCTCATGTACCTTGGCCTTCACCCCCGAGAACGCCTCGAGAATCTGCTTCTGGGTTCCACCGAGCTCCTCAGACGACGACGCACGGACAGCAAACTTCTCGGCGCGGACGGCTGCGAGGTGAGCAAAATCGGGATGTTAGACAGGTACGCAATGACAGCATGGTCGTGCCTCAGCAGCGGCTATGTACCTCTGGCAGCTGGAGAGACACGGAGAGTGGCTCCCATGAATCCGCTCCTCACGGATACATTCCTGCTAGAGGCGGAGGCCTGGCAAGTGATGGCGGTAGGGGAGGCAGCGGCGACGGTGGCAACAGCGGAGGCCATGGCTGCGGTGAGAAAACGCGAGTGAACTGGCCGGTGTGGAGAAAGGATGCAGAAGGGTTCGAAATCTTGCACGCTGTCGCAGCAAGACCGAGAGGGGCGAATGTTTGGGAGGGTATGGCAACGATGCGCTAAATTGGCTGTGCGTGCTGACATGGCGGTGAACACCAATCAAGAATCTCGTGACAAATGCAGAAGATCTGCGTTCACCAGTCACGATCGCGAAACATTTCATCGATAGGACGTAACCCACTACGCTTCGACTCGAAACAGTTTTAGAACTCCTTACTTATAAATTAATATGATTTCTGATATTTGCCTATAAAGCAATTTTAAGTTACGATTTTTATTGACACTAAAAACACATGTTTTAATGCACGCAATAATATACATACCCTAAAGCTGTTACAATAAGGAAATGCATCACGCATTCTTGTACGTAACAAAAACAGACATTACCGTCTCTCCTCGAATATTGACACCAGGGCCCTAGATATCAGCCCTTTTACGCTGATTCAGTGTTAAATCAGGCTTTTTTTTATACCCTAGGCTGAATCCAAAGTTTTTCATTATGTACTTTGGCTGATTTTTCAGCCATTTTATTTGTATCTTGTCTGTTTTTTCAGACTTTTTTTTTCGAGTGTATGCTGATCCTGTAGTCTACTACCGGGATCCTTCAAATGTGCCTATCTCCCCACCCCCCCGGCCCAACCGATTCTCTCGCACCGCCCCCTAACCACCTCAATTTCTCGCCCCTACTGGTCGCACATTTCCCCTCCCCAGACCTCCCCTTTCTCAACCCTGCTCACCTTGTTTCTTCCCCCAGCCCGCGTCTCCCAACCTACCCGCTTCTCCTGCACCTCCCCTCCCCCCGGGCCCACCTGCCTCTCCTGCCCCTCCCCGCAGCTCACCTGCCCCTATCGCACCCACTTCTTTCTCTCGCACCCACTTGCTTCTCTCGCGCCCTGTTTACCAGATCTCGATACTCATTGCAAGATGAACCATACAGGAGTACAATTGTGTACTTCACCTTCACAAAAAAAAAAAAAAATCAGAAAAAAAAAATCAGCCATACTTTTTGCACCAACACTGATTTTTCAGCGTGTTTTTGCTAGGTAATGCTAATTAACAGCCTTTTTTTATGGACCAACGCTGATGGATCAGCCTGGTCCAAAACGAATCTAGGGCCCTGATTGACACGTACATATGATAAGCACATGTGGTTCCAATTTGGATGTGGCGCTTATACCTGGTCCTCGATTAAAATGCCACCCAAACTTCTTGCGTACTGTAAGGGCACCCAGGGTTGACGTGTCAAATTATAAGCACTTTCAGGGCTTCTAGCTCAAGCCGTTCCTCGCTCCGACCGTTTCTAGCTCAGCCGTTTCTATCTCCAGCTGTTCCTAGCTCCAGTCGTTTCTAGCTCCTGCCGCTCCTCTCTCCAGCCGCTCCAAGCCCCAACCGCTCCTAACTCCGGTCGTTTATAGCTCCAGCCGCTCTTTGCTCCGGCCATTCCTAGCGCCAGCCGCCAGGCGTTTCTAGCTCTAGTTGTTCCTACCTCCAACCTTTCCTCGCTTCGGCCGATTCTAACTCGTGTCGCTCCTACGCCCAACTAGCTTGTGCCATGACGTCCGTTAGAGTTCTGCAGTAGCGGGTGTCAGAATCTAGCAGCAGGAATGGATGAACTAACAGGATGCAGGAGTACAAGTAGTAAACCCTAACTAGGTTGTACCCCATATGGGCTACCCCACTACAGCCTAGACAATATGCAGCACATATAGTTTGACACACCCCCATAGGCAAAGTGGGGGAGAACAAGGGGTCACACGACCAGTCAAGAGAAGCAAAACAAGCTCAGGGTGGATCACAACGTCACCACGCATTCTGAGCACAAGCAAAGGGCCACTGGGCCAGTTCACATGCAGAGATATATATGCAGCAATAACAGTACAGTGATGGCTACCTAGCAAGAGCCAGCATGCATATATATATATATATATATATATATATATGTACAGATCACAGTACAAGCAGAGACTACAGCAAGTGTGGAAACGTAGGCACAAGGCCTAACAGAGTACAAAAGCGCTGATGATCACCAGACGGAAGTGCCTTGGTGAATATGTCAGCAGTGTTGGCCCGAGTGGCCACGTGGCGAAGACGAAGCTGGCCTCGCTGCTGCAACTCTCGAGCCAAGAAGTAACGCAGAGCAATGTGCTTCGTTCTGTGCTCCAGTCTGTGCTCCTCACACAAGGCAATGGCGGCCTTGTTGTCAACGTACAGCACTGGAGGAGAACGAGGCTGCTCTCCCAAGTCAGTCAGCAGGTAGGTGAGCCAGCGTAACTCCTGTGCAGCCATGGCGGTGGCATAGATCTCAGCCTCACAACTGGAGCCGAGAACTGAAGTCGAGCGTGTAGAACGCCACGAAACTGAACCAGAGCCAAGGCTGAAGGTGTAACCCTGTGACGACCGCTGAGTAGCCAGGTCGTCAACCCAAGAAGCGTCTGAGTGCCCAGTGAGGACAACTGGGCTCGTCCCTCCAAGCACTAGCCCCATGCCTGATGTGCTGCACAAGTAACGCAGTACCCTCTTAGCAGCAGCCATGTGCTCAGGTCGGTGCCGACCAGGAGCCACGTAGCGAGCCAGGAGACCAAGAGGGTACGCGAGGTCAGGTCGAGTGCAAGTCATCAGGTACATGAGGCAGCCGACTAGCTCTGGGTAAGGACCACTCGGCTCTACGGACTCGTCCGAAGGTGGAGCTGAGAGCGTGTGACCTGTAGCCAGAGGAGTGGCCTGTGCTGAAGACCAGGTGAAGCCGAAGCGCTGAAGGACCTGCTGCACCATGTGTGACTGAGTCAAGGTGATGGTGCGACGTGCTCTGTCTCGGGTGATCTGCAAGCCAAGGTAGCTGCGCAGCTCACCCAAGTCTGTGCACGTGTGTCTCTTCTGCAGCTCCGACTTCACGTGGGCGAGAGCCTCAGTGTCAGCAGTGGCAAAAACCAAGTCGTCGACATACACGAGGATGTAGAACGGCGGCAGGGAAGTGTCGGTGCGCAGAAACAGCGACGGGTCAGCAGTAGAAGGCGCAAACCCAAGAGCCGCAAGCGTAGTCCTCAGTGTGTCGTGCCACTCACGTGGCGCCTGGCGGAGACCGTAGACCGGCCGCCGGAGGCTCCACTGGGTACCAGGAGGGAACGACCCAGTGAAGCCCGGGGGGCGGCGCAGCCAGATCTCCTCGTGCAGGCTGCCCTGCAGGAAAGCTGTGCTGAAGTCAAGAGAGTGAAGCTCGTAGTCACGGTGAGCAGCAACGTGCAGCAGCACCCGAAGAGTGGTCATCTTCGGAGTGGGGGAGAAGGTCTGGAAGAAGTCAACTCCCTCTCGCTGACTGAAGCCTCGAGCCACGTAACGCGCCTTGAAGACAGGCGGAGAACCCGGCGGCCGCTTCACCCTGAAAATCCACATGCCACTGACGATGTTCGCCCCAGGTGGGGGAACCTCGTCAACGTAGGTGCCTATGGACTTCCAGGAAGCCATCTCTGCGTCCATGGCTGCCTGCCACTGAGAGGAGTAGGGACCCTCTATCGCCTCTGCGTAAGAGCGCGGAGTCGGGATGTCTGGTGCATCCGGGTCTCCCTCAGGGGCAAGTAGCGAGGACACAAGATGAGGTAAAGCAGCAGCAAGGCACTGGAACTCCTCCTGCCTGTCCTCAAGGACGTCCGTGCTAAGAGCACACTCACCCCCGACGGACGGAGGACAGACAGACTCAGACTCAGTAACAAGACTGGCAGTGAAGTCTAGACGACAGGCAGCAGCAAAGTCAACAAGCTCAGCGACAAGAGCAGACGCAGCAGCAGACTCAAACGACGGGTCAGTGACAACTGTGGCTAGTAGACGCGTGACAGTAGGGTGCTGAGCACGAAACCGGTCAGACGCAGGGTCCGGAACGTCAGGCAAAGAGGACGCAGGAGGAGACGGCAGAGGAACAGGCTGCGGAACAGAGGAAGGACGACGGACTACGAGGTGCGCGCTGGGGACAGCCGGCGGACGCGAACGAGGAACACGAGGACCGGTACGACCAGGACGAGCAGGCGAGACAGGACGCGACGCAGGCTCACGACGCACAGCAGGACTACCAGTCAGCTCAGCGTAAGGAGAAGGAGCAGGCAGCGGCGAGCCAGTCTGTAACGGAAGACCAGTAGACGACGGAAGAGTAAGAACCTGACGAAGAACAGAGGCAGACGGCGGCAGAGACGACGGAGACGGCGGAGCGAAGAACAGTCGTGTCGGCGCAGCTGCACCAGAACCAGCAGCTCCAGCAGCTCCAGTGCCTCCAGCAGCTCCAGTACCTCCAGCAGCTCCAGTACCTCCAGCAGCTCCAGAAGCTCCAGGCCCAGAGCCGACACCTCGAGTCCCAGGGTCTCCAACCTCTGTGTCTCCAGCAGCAGCACCCCCAGAACCAGCACCTCCAGTCCCAGGGTCTCCAACCGCAGGGTCTCCAGCAGTAGCACCCCCAGAACCAGCACCTCCAGCTCCAGGGTCTCCAACCTCAGCGTCTCCAGCAGCAGCACCCCCAGAGCCAGCACCTCCAGTCCCAGGGTCTCCAGCCTCAGTGTCTCCAGCACGAGCCCCTCCAGAACCAGCAACTCCAGCACCTCCAGTAGACAAAGGACCAGCACGACTCCGAGCTCCAGCAGCGCGACGCTGACGGCGACCGTACCAGTCCTGCAGCTGCTGTGGGGTGAGAGGCACACGGGGACGAAGGCGGCCACTCCAAGGAGACCGCGCAACAGCAGACTCAGAACCCTCAGCGCCCGCACCCCCAACGGCTCCAGAACCTCCGGTGTCAGTACCCTCAGCACCAGTACCTCCAGCGACTCCAGAACCTCCAGCGCGAGCACCCTCAACAGCTCCAGGACCTCCAGCTCCAGCGCCACCAGGACTAGGCCCTCCAGCAGCTCCTGAACCTCCAGCGCCAGCACCCTCAGTAGCTCCAGAACCTCCAGCGTCAGTACCGCCAAGCTCAGCACCCCCAGACCCCTCACACGCAGGCTCAGCACCACCAGGCTCTACACCCCCAGGCTCAGCACCCCGAGCAGGACCACTCGCAGGAGGACCTGAGTCACCAGTGACCTCAACCGGCACAGTCAAGGGAGGAG